CAACACAGCCCCCCTAATGCAGCACTTAGCGTACCTCCTCTCGGACAGCTCCCAGGCAAACTCCCGCTGTTAGCCTCTGCTGTTCGCCGCGTTACTGGGGTCTGTTCCTGGCTCTGTCACTGACCGGCTTGGTGACATTGGGGAAGTCACAGCCTTTCTATCTTGGATTGGATCTCTTTGGGGCAAGGACTGTCCCTCTCTGTCTGTGCAGTGCCTAGCACAATCGGGGTGCTGATCTCAGTCAGGTTCTCTGCCATGCGCCGCACGATGGGGCTCTGATCCCCATTAGTGTCTGCAACACAAAGCACAGTTTATAGACTCACAGAAGTACTAACCCTTTCCTGTGTCTACTGGAAATACCTTGCCTGATGCATCCTAGGACCGCATTAACCCTTTTCACGGCCACATCACATGGGCAGCTCATGTTGATCACAGGATAATTCAATACACCTAGGTCTTTCTCCTCCTCTGTCACTTCCAACTGATAAGTCCCCAGCTCATTGCAAAAATTCTTGTCGTTAGTCCCTAAGTGCATAATTTTGCAGTATTAATTTTCATCCCATTTCTATTACTCTAGCTTTCAAGGTCATGCAGAACTTCTTGTATGATTTTCCTGTCCTCCTTCATATTGGCAATCCCTCCCAGCGTTGTGTCCCACTCCCACTTTTTGTGCCAAGGTCACTAATTAAAATGTTGAATAAGATTGGTCCCAAGACCCATCTCTGAGGAACTCCACTAGTAACCTCCCTCCAGCCTGACAACTCACCCTTCAGTATGACCCCCTTGTAGACTTCCCTTTAACCAATTCTTTGACCTTTCAGTTCTCATATTAATCCCCATCTTCTCCAATTTAACAAATAGTTTCCCATGTGAAACTGTATCAAATGCCTGTATCAAATGCCAGGTTTCTCTGGCACAATCTACCTTTTTTAACACCATGTTTTTTTTATTTATAGTGCTGAAGGCTGGAAGGAACTGTTAACAATAGGCTGAGAATGGCTATGTGGAGGTGGGGGAGGGGATGGTAGTGTGGGGGTGGGGATGGGAGGTTGGAGGTGTATCTGGGATTTTGTTTTGTAGGAGTTCATGTCTCTGCTCCCTGTGGCCATCGTGCATTCCTTACCAGAGCAGCATGTCAGCAGAGCAGACGCACACACCATAGCTCCATCTGGAACACGCAGCTTTCACTGCTAGATGGGATAGGCGATTTTTCAGCAGCCCAGCTTGATATGCCTGGCTGGGGTGGATTCACTTGGACGGGGGTCTGGGGCTCTGATAGTTTGCGATGTTCCTTTTTGCATAGTCAGTTCTTTCCCTTTATTGTTTTGCCCCCACCTGTGCCCGATGTCACTCTCTTCTTAACTTGCTTCGGTTATTTCAGTTCCAGTTTTTAAATGGGATCTAATAATTGCAAAGCTGAATGAAAGATCAAACAAACGGAACCATTTGAATTTTGGCACATAGCTGGTAGTGAAGGTCTGCTGTAATTACCTGGTTACCTATAGCATTTTCTGGTGGGGGTGGATAAAGCAATGTCAAAGAGACAAAAGTGCTTTTTAGGGCAAAAGGGCTCGTCAGGTGTTTGGTCTCTAAGGAACATGTCACCGGCCAGGGCTTGCAGCCTTTCAGGAGTGGTGCGCTGGATTGTATTTAGGAATCTTAAAATAAAAGGTTAAGACTGCTGGTTCACAATATCCAATGAAAACTTGCAAACAATTATACAAATAGCCTCTAATGCTATTAAAACAACATGGTATTAATACTGATTCAAAACTGAAATTAAAATTAGGAGATAAACACATGAGAAATGAACTGACACCTAATTTCTATTTCTTAATGCCTGAAATTTTGACATTCATTCACACCATTTTTTTTTTTCAAGAGCAATGCACAGCACACAGGCAAGTTAATTAATGAAAGCACGCCAATTATTGACTGCTTTGTGTTGCATAAGCATCTGATTAAGCACCCATTTAAAACTGTACCACTGTAAGTGAAAATTATACCCATATGCTATTAAAACAACATGGTGTTAATATTGATTCAAAACTGAAATTAAAATTACAAGATAAATGCATGAGAAATGAGCTGACACCTAATTACCATTTCTTAATGCCTAAAATTTTGACACTTGCTCACGCCATCTTTTTTTTTCAAAGTGCTGCACAGCACACAGTCAAGTTAATTAATGAAAGCACACCGATTATTGACTGCTTTGTGTTGCATAAGCATCTGATTAAGAACCTAATTAAAACTGTACCACTGTAAGTGGAAATGCATCAACCCAGTTTAGCTCCAAGTTGTTTAGATGTGAATGAAAAGTTTCTAAATTAAATACATGGCAGAATGGTTAATGGGGAAAATATACTGAAGTGCCTCTACCCAGTCCTGTTGACTTCTTCTCCCAACCCCCCAATGAGTTCTCGCATGTTGGTCAACTCGGCTCCCAGTCCCACATCAGTTGTGCCCTCTCCCAGCCTAATCCATTTCTACTGCAATTCTTCTCATCAAGGCACGGGGCTGGCGCTGCAGCCCCTAAGGTACCTGTGTTAATCACGGTCTCTCATACTGGGGCTATTTACATTTCAGGGAACGATTTATCAGAATTACTAACTCTGGGAGGTGGGAGAGAGGAGAGGCTGGGAGGGAGTTTGCTCCCCACATTCTGTAGGGCCATGTTCAACTCTGGTAGCCTCCATGTTACCTCATCCTCCCCCAGGTGTCTCTGCTCATGTGTCAGAGTGTCGTCTTCTGATCATAATGCCACTGGCCTCAGCAGAGCTCCCAGACAGCAGCTACATCACGATGAGGTTACGGTACTGAGAGTTAAATACATCACAGGGAGGGTGTAATTGTCCTGAAATGAAGCATTACAGTCCAGGAAGAAAGAATTCAAGTACGTCATTACTTAAAATTATTCTTGAAAGGATTGGATTTTTATGAATAAATTGCAGTAAATGTTGATTTCACTGTACACACACACACAGATGAAAAAATATTTATATAGGTAATATACAGAAATGCTTCTGGAGAAAGTCAAGTTTGATTTAAGGATATTTACACTGTATATTTTGCGTGTGACATTGACAATTTCTCTTTGAACAGTTATTGATTTGGCTTTTGGAATCTCAACATTTACTGTAATTAAATAATTGTTGTCCGACGACCCCCATAACTTCCCACAGGTCTGATCGTTGAAATTATAAACATTGAAAAAAGAGCTTAAAAATAAATATCGATATCATCTATTGAAATTAAAAGAAAGAAATAGACAAAATGAATTTTGTCAAACCCCCTTAACAGCAATCACAATATGCTCAAGGGTGGAAATTCACAGCTAAGGCACCCAACCTTAATTCTGCCATGAAGTGACACCAGGCAATTGCCAGGGCTACGAATTAGGCATTTTAGTGTATAAAGTTCCAGATTAGATCATACCAATTTGTAAAGACACCTGAGATCTTTCCCTCAGGATATCACGTTCACTAGTTTTTTTTATTTTTCTATTGGTTATTCCCAGAAGTCAATAGATAAATAACATTCTATCAGTTATGTAGTGTCTATAATTTTGCACTAGGGGCCAGGTCCTTTGAGAGACGGAACCTTGGTTTCATTTTAACTTCTCCATGCTCAGCAGCTTCTGGAATTTGGTTCAAAGTATTTACATGTTTCCCTGTCCTGTTCTTAAAAGTGCTACTATAGAAAGTGGGGAAGGGGCAGGAACTGACTGCAGGATCAATAGCTGAGTCCCTTAGATATTTATAGCTCATCGGAAGGAGGACGGGGATTGGTGGGTGTCTGGGGATTTAATAATAAACACACAAATATCATTGTTCTTAGTGAATTTTCATCTTCTAATTCCCATAACCCACTAATTATCCCTGGCTGTCCCTGGAGGTCTGGGGAAGGAGTACTAACAAACTCCTTTGGCCAGTGTGGAACCTAAGGCACAAGGATCTTTCAGTGGCTGGCTCAAAGTCACCCAGAATGAAATTCACTTCACAGGATAAACCCCTAGTTGCTGGGATCTGCAGAGGGGTGGGGAGGTGACTTCCATTCTTGAGCATGGACCCCCCTTTAATTCTCACCCCAATCTCATACACTATCCCAACCTTCCCCTGCACTGATGGATCCACTTGATGCTTCCAAAGCCATCTGCCATAGGACCTGGAGGGGACAGAGGCCCAGCTCCAGAAATACTACCTGTGCCCACAGCCCCCATGCTGTGCTAGAGTTGCCCTGACTTTCCACTGTGCAGATCGGTCTAGCTGTACCCAGCCCGTGCACCCACCACACACAAACTTTGTCACAACACACATCCCAGGATTGGGAAAGACCATCTGGGGCTGTCTGTAGTCTCCCTTTGCTGCTGTCAGAGGAATGGGGTGGTCCCTCATATAGGACACAAACATACCCAGGGGCAGAAGGGAAATGTAGTTTCTTCCAGGGGTTTGAAAACGTTTGATTTAGAGTCCTGAGCTCTGTCTTCCTGTTTCTCCTTCTGCCACTTTCAGATCTCTTGGAGAGACAAGGTAGGTGAGTTAATTTCTTTTAGAACCAATTAAAAATACCTCTCTTTAATACCTTGGGACCAACATAGCTACAACGACTCTTTTCCCTTTGTACCCACTCTCACCCTCCCTTAGCTGAGACTGTCCCCTGTGATGGGAGTTCAGTCCTGTAACTGGACTGGGCGTTCCCAGCACTGGCGGGAGTGAAAGCCTGTGTGCATTAATGACAGCAGCAACTCTGGGACTCGACACATAGGGAGAAGAGATGGGAGTGAGGAGGTTATGTTTGTGCCTGGTGTGAGTTACTCATGTGGGAATTCTGTGCCACTGTACGCACAGAATTCATGTCCAGTGCAGAATTATTTTTTTTGCATGAAGAAAATAAATTCTGCCCGAGAAGTGCTGCAGTTCTGCCTTTCACCCACCCTGTTGCACCAGAACAGCCAACAGCCAGCTGGGTTGATCTTGGTGGGAAATTGTTGCCCCGAGCTATACCCCAAATAGGAAGAGAGTTAGTGGGTGCAACTTAGAAGAGTCCTGAGACATGGCTGCCTCTGGGGGTGGGGAGAGAGTGTCTACTCATTGTCTACTCACAAGAGAGTGTGGAAAAGGGCACAGGAGGAGCAAGTGTCCCCATGGAGACTGCCCAGCCCCAGGTTATCCAGTCCCAGACGCTTCTTCCCACAAACCTCTTCACCCCTCCAAACATCAGTTGCCAGTCTTCCCTCGCTGCTCCCCCTTCCTGACTGGCAGAGAGCCTCTAAGCCAGTAGTGTGTCAGGGCTCAACCCTCTGGCTGAGTCCTTGGGGCACTTTCTTCCTCTCTCAGGGTATCATGCCACAGGGGCCCCTCAAATCTACATTGCTTAGGCTTTGGCTTCCACCTCGGGTGGTGGGGCTCAGGGCCCTGGACTTCAGCCCCATGCGCTGGGACTTCAGCTTTCTGCTCTGGGCCTCAGCGAGACTAATGCTGGCCTTGCTTGGCAGCCCCCCTGAAACCTGCTAGTGGCCCCCCAGCGGGCCCCAGACCCCTGGTTGAGAACCACTGCCTTACACCACGAATCACAGCAATGTTCAAGTTACTGCCGGTTATAGAATCATAGAATATCAGGATTGGAAAGGACCTCAGGAGGTCATCTAGTCCAACCCCTTGCTCAAAGCAGGACCAATCCTCAACTAAATCAT